GGAAGAAGCATCTCCCATCATTTGCTTTAGTCCTCCCATCCTCCCTCTTGTCCTTGCACCCTCCTACTCTCTGCCTGGTCTCTCCAATTTTTCTTTGGAAGATGTTTGTCCCCTGGTGTTAATGACAATCTTCACAAAGAGTCATAGAAAAGAGAGGTGGGCAGAGCCTGCTTGGAACAGACATCCACAGCATCTCCTGAAAGCCCGTGTCTGAGCTCTGCAGTATCATTGCAACAGGATTCCCAGCTCTTTGGAAGCCCATTTGTAGAGTCACAAAACCAAGCGTCGGGATAAATATACATTTACATAAAATTTCCCATTGTCTCTCTTTTACTCCCATTTCTTACCTTTCTCCCACTCTATCTGGAATGGCTTTGGGAACCCAAGAGACGGGCCTGGATTTCTGCCTGCTTTCATTCCAGTGCTGGTTCTTCCTTTTTCTTTTAAATACCTTCGAAGTGGATCGAGACAGCTGCTGCGCTTTCATCAAAACACTACTGGGTTCCCCTGCCCTTTCCAGTATCCAGAACTAGGTGTATCTCCACCTGCCTCTCACTGCAAGAGAAATGGTGATGCCCTGAAAACTTCCTCCTTTACCCAGCTGCCTTGCACTTGCGCCTCTGGTCACTTTTCCTGGAGAATTCCCTCAGTCAGTGCCCTCCCATCCAGCACTCTCATTCCCCAGCACACTCATGCTCATTTGGGAGGGCTGTTTTCCCCCCTTATAATAATTTCTTTCTTCTTTACAGAGCCAAGAAACCGGCTGCTCCTCTGCCCTGCACACTCATTGACTAACTCAGCAGAGTAGCATTTCACACCGGAGGAATAACTACAGAAAGTGCAAGGGAGTGAAGAATCAGGCCCCAGCTGCTCTCTTGCATGAAAGCTTAACCTGCTAGCCGCCTGGCAGCACTCACCCACCCCTCTTTCCTTAGGAGCGGACCTGGCTGCCCACGCAGCAGGGGCCCTGTGCTGCAGGGGGAGAGCACACTGGCAGACCCGGGGGAACACACAGGGTTTCTGCACACGTATGCTGCCACCTTTCTGGTGTATTTTCCTGTAAAATCGTGTGTGAATGTAAATGGCATCCTGTCTCGTTAAGGGCCAACGATACACAGGGCAATCTTCAACCAAACTCCAGAGGTAAGTTATGTGCAGCCTCGCTCAGCCCAAAGCAAAGGTCTGAACTGTGGGGTAAGCAGCACCTCCTAGTTCTAACCCTCTGCCTAGAGAGTCTTTCTCATTGCAAGACTCTTAGCTGCTGAAGGGGATTAATTGATTCCCCACAGCTGGCCCAGCCCTGCCATCCTGCAAGTCCCTCTGCTCAGAGCAGGCATTTGTGGTTCTGCCTCTAGCCAGAGGGAGGGGATTAATTAACCCCTTCCCTGCTAATCACTGGATGGCTCTGTCCATCTTGTCACAATCGCTTAAATTCAGTTCTTCCTCCCAGCGGTTTTCAGATGAAGGCAGCATTGTTCCAAAGCACTCTACACACACACACAGCTAATTTTTGTGGGGAGAAAGAGGTCCCAATCCCGCATTTGGACATTGACATTGGCACTCTGGCCCGTAAACACCCTTGTTTATATGCCTAATTGCAAACCTGAGCTTCCAAATGTAAGATCTGGGTGTCTGGTTAAGATGCCCACATAACTATTGGAGTCTCCCACCATCTGCAGCTGTTACTGTAAACTAAAGCCATCTACACCACTTCTTGCTTCAGTGCATAGAACATAAAGGAAGATTCATCCCTGGTGTAACTCCATTCCGTGACCTTTATTCCAGCTGAATCCAACTTCAGTGGAATTACACAGTGAATGGATCTGGCCCATACATTTGTTTCCCACGAAGTACAGGTGAGACCCTCAACATATGGGTATTTCTTAAGGAAGTGATTTCCTGAGAACAGTGATTTGACTAGACTGAACATGTCTCTTTAGTGGTTTGGGTAGTAAAGAAGATACTAAGTATTCAGGGCTCAATTTCTGTCCCAGAAGAAGGCTTGTGAAATGAACTCTGAACCCTACCACTTCCTCTGCTTGGCTGGCTAACCCCACTGCTGTGTTTTCACTCATCCACATTCAGTTCAGCAGGAAAAGTGGATTCATTAATATAAAGAACTAGTCATAAAATTTACCTCTCCTCTTCTCTTTTATGGCTGAAACCTACTGTTTCGTACTCTAGTTTTATGTGTATTCTAATAAAAAACATGTGCAAATTCCCCTATTTTTAAAACAGTTGAGCATCAGTGTGGTTTGAATTAATGCTTTTGAAAATAGTCTCCCCACAATGCTATCTGAAAATGGAATCTGCCCACAGTTAAACTTCAATTCTTGAGATGCAGTATAATGGCATTTTATGATATAAGGAAATCTGTGTGCTCAGGGGGGGGTTACCTGGTTCTCAGAAAACAATAAAAAGGAACAAACTTCTGAAAAGGCATAGTCAATGGCATTAAAGGGATCAATTCAATGCAGTCTCAGACAACACTGAGAAAGACTTTAATCTACCACTGCAAGCAGAGGCATAACTTACCGAGTATAAAACATACTAGCTGACTTGATTGGCTACAGTAAGTATATCAGCAAACATATGCCTTGCCAGATAGAGAAGAGTGAAGGACTTTCATACTACATACAGGTAAGAGCAATATTACCGTTGCATGCAAGCACTAACGTATTGGAAACGTGTTACCACAGTACTGAAAAATAGCATGTGCCAATCTGTGTATTCTTGATCCATAATGAAGTCTGCAATTGTAGCAAGGTAATGATACAAACTTGCATTACAATTTAGCAGAGTCTATTTATTTACAGTGGGTTGACATTGACAGTAGAGAGAGATGAACAATATAGAAATCATATTTTTAAGGATGCCATCATAACACCAAATTCCAAGAGCAGGATGTTAGCCTCCTGCAAATAATGAAAAGGAGATGTGGGTAAATGAAGTTGTAAAGAGTGAGACGTGATACTAGCATTACTTATATTCTAAAGCAGGACACTCTTATCAAATGACTGGTATTTCTAACAGTTTGAATTTTCAAGTTCTCTACAATATTTTGGTTTACTTCTGGGAAGTGGAAAATAGGGCTTGCCAGAAAACAAGAATACTGTTTTGGAAAAAAAAAGTTTCAAGGCTTTGATATTTGTTTTCATTCTGACTCAGAAAAACAATTAAATCTTTCAAAAATTTAAATGATAAAACATGAAAGACAGAGCCCCTCCCCAGGATATCCTCATGGTTAGTGCACTCAACTGGCATGTGGGAAACCTGTGTTCAACTCCCTACACTGCCTGGTTCAGGGCAGGGACTTGAGTCTGGATTTTCCCCATCCCAGGAAAGCATCTTAGTTCTTCTGGAATGGGCCCCGGCTCTCTCATCTTGACCAGAAATACCTTCCTGCCACAATGTTCATTGAAACCAACACATTCCACTAAAAGTTTTGGTTTTAATAAATCAGGGGGCTTTGGAAAAAAAATGTTTTGCTGAAAAATTCCTGACCAGCGTTAGTACTAATCCAGCAAGAAGCAGCTTTTAAACTCTCAGGCGGTCACTAGTAATTGCTGTAATATGGTTCTTTATTGCATCAGTCATAACAGGTGCTGTTGCATGGAATCTCCAGCAAAGGGCAAAGAGATCCTGGGCCGTGTTATGCCACCAGTTTTTAAAGCAGGTATTTTTAAGAAGAACCTCAGATGAGGAATTCTGCTTGAAATCAGTGCCACAATATGGCCTGTTGTCATCTCAGTCCATTAATTACCCATCCACCTTTCCATGTTAGAATAATACACCAGAAAAGCAAGCATACATACCCAAGTGACCTAACAGCCTAGAGTTGCAGAGAGGGCCAAGTTAGCGCTGGTGTAGCTCTGCTGGTTTCAATAAAATTACACCATGGGCGCATTTGGCCCAATCTTTCTCCTGTTGTAGAATTCCCCCAGTTTTCTTTGGTGTGCTGCTTTGTGACGAAGTCTCAATACTTGTCACATTCATCTGAATTTGCTCTCTCCTCTCCTCAAGACAAGTGACTTGCTTACATTAATTTGTTTGGCCAAAAGACTGAATTTCTGTTACCCACCATCCTGTGGAGTCATTGACGCTGGTGCAAAGTGGGTGTAAAATGCTATGAAATTGGAATGAAGGCATTTTTCACCCCATTTTGCAGTAGTGTAAATGGGTGCACAAAGTGCGGGTCACACCCTATATGTGACAGGTTTTACTCTAGGCAACATTCTCTCAGCGGATGCACGTGTCCGCTGTTCCCATTTATGTCAGGGAATGCTGTGGGCCTGCAATTGAGTCCAGAATCCTGTGATTAAATAATCAGGGTAAGTAGCCTGACCATTTTAGTAATTAGCTCAATTTATTCTTGCCAAATATCATTGTATAGTTCCAGTATCCTCCAGCTTTGCAGCAGGCTTTTTTGCAATGTTCACCTAACTCTGTCCCCGGTCTCACCCTCCACAACCTTCCAACCTGGGCAGCCAGTAGTGAAATAGGGGGGCATGTGCTTTATAGGAACAAATTCTGCACTCACATCTGCAGACTCACCTGCCAGTAAAGACATGGCTGGACTAAGCATAACAGGCAGGGCCTGGAACGCTGGCAGCGGGTGATGTCTGTGATGACATCACAGTGACATCACGCACAGCTGAAGGGCAAGCTGCCTCCAACCGGACATCCTCTGCACAAGGGAATGCAGGATCTGATGGCCTGCCCTCGGCAGAGCCCAGATCCTTCCGCCCAGCACCCAGGTATATGGTGAGGGGGAAACAGGCAATTAACTGGGAGCCAGCCACCATCTCTGCCCTATGGGCAAACTGAGGAGGAAGGGACCTCCAGCCACCGCTGCTCCTGCCCCAGCTGCTGGAAAGAGAGAACCCTGCGGCTCCTACTCATTCTCCAATTCAGATGGCGAGGGAGATGGGAGTCCTACTGTTCTACATCAGGGTGTGTATGGGCCTCACGACTGAAGTTATTAAATGTATAACCACGGAAGCCAAGGGGTGTTGAGTCTGGGTAGGGACTGCAGGTCAGCTAAGGTGCAGACTGCACTGCAAAGCTAGGGGCATATGGTGTCCTTGACTCCAATGAGTCAAGTTTTGCTTACAGTTGGTGGGCATGACACGACCCTCTGGCATGCCTCAGAATGAAGGGGCTTTTCGGGTTCCATAAACAAACAAGAACATTTGTTAGCACTTGCCCTGGAGGGATATTCTGCTCCTCCGGATGTTATGCTATTGAACACCATCGAAATATAAGGGGAAGTGTTCCCATTCTCAGATTTAGCACATCCGAACCAGCTCGCAGTGCTTATAAACTCAGAACTAGGCACTGTCATTCATTTCGCTTTCATGTTTATGATGTTAGGCTTCTGGGAAGAGCTGTATGGTCAGTGCCTCCAATTAGCACACAATACAATGTCAAATAACAATAACAAAATTACCATGTCAGGGAAATTGCTTCCCCAAAATGTCAAAGGGGTCGCAGCATAGTGTAACAAGCCTTTAAAAGAGAAACACTTCTGAAAAATAAATTTCCCCTTCTGATGGTCCTCAGAAATGCTTAAGAGAATGGCCAGCTTAATGCAGAGATAATCTTTTCAAGGCTAAGATTTTTCCGCACTGCCTTTAATACGCTCCCTGCTGCGAAACATACATTATATACATACACTATTATTGGCAGTATCGGAAAGTATAAAACATGAATGATTGCGTAATAATAATAATAATAATAACAGCAATACTTTTTACTGGATAGTACCATTTAGGTAAGGATCTCAAGGATTTTTACAATCGTTAATTAATTAAGCCTCCCTACAGCTGTGTTATCATTGTCATTGTACAAAGGAATAAACTGAGACATAAAGACTCCCAGTTCAGCAGGCCATCCATATTCAGGAAAGCATTTAAGCACAGAATGTTGAGCCTCTGCTTAAAGTTAAGCACTTGCATAAATGCTACGCTGAACGGGGATGGACTTCAGCATGTGCTTAAACACTTTGCTGAACTGGGGCCAAGAGAATCCAGGCCTGGTCTATATTAAGATAATCTGTATTTGGTACAACCACATTGCATTGTAAATTACTCAATTAAGCAACGCTGGTAAAAACCCATTTTTGCAGTGGTGCAATCCCTGCCCAAAGTCCTTCAGTGGCAGAGTCAGGAATGGAATCCAGAGTCTCACATTCCCATTGTGTTCTAACCACTAGACCACAGTGCCCCTCTCAATCCCCTAAACTGACTGATGGAATTAAAGTCGTGGAGTGAACTCAGTTGCTTTTGATCTCTATTCAAGGTGCCATCAAGGGCTCTTAATAGGTGGTATCTTAGCAAATGCTTTAGCGACTCAAACCTTCTCTATAAAAACCCTACTGATTCTCACACTTGTCTGAAAGAATAGAGGCACAAGCTAGCTTCAAATGCCAGCTGACAGATGGGAACACAAATGGACTATAGGATTCCTGATCTAAAAAGTCACACCCGTGGTCAGGCTAAAGAAACATACATCTCTATTTTGATGTTGACCTCAAAGGGAAGAGGGATGAGTCAACAAAAAGGGCAAAGGGCAGAAAACATCACAAGTATGAGGCCAACGCTGCTTTGAACTTGAGGACAAATATACTAATGATATGAAGTTGACAAAAAAGCTTCTTGACACTCCGTGTCTACAAAGTTGGCAGCGTCTAACCCAAATGGCTCCTCGATTCATTCCCAGTAATGAGCAGAGTTAGGAACAGTAAATCTGACTGAATCCTCCATGGCACTGAAGACATTAGTTGTTTCTTCCAGCCTCGGTTATTTCTATAGCCCAGACATGAGAGATGTGGGTGAATGCGAGAGCAAAGAGCAGTCCATTTGAGAGCTGCATGGGAGCACTCTAGCAATGTCTATGTAAGTCATTTTGAGGGTCATAGCAGGAGAATACAGGCACATGCGTCTGACGAAGTGGGCATTCACCCACGAAAGCTTATGCTCCAACACGTCTGTTAGTCTTAAAGGTGCCACAGGACCCTCTGTTGCTTTTTACAGATCCAGACTAACACAGCTCCCCCTCTGATACATAGCAGGATAATATCACCAGCAATACGGGACTTACCCACACACAGAGAGATCAGGGTCCCGCACAGATCATCTTTACTTTAGTTTTATCTTTGTTTCTAGGTTGGTTTTATATGGGAAAATATATCACGCCATCACTATTACTTTGCATACAGTATTTTGCATAAAACTCCCCAGAGGACACTTAACTCTACCATTCTCCACCATTGCAAAAATGCCAGTGATACAGGTTAGTAATTCAGTTTAAACTGCTCCTCCAGATAGCTAAAGAACAAAACAAAGGATGGATAGCTTATTGTTATTTGGGGGGGGAGGGTGGAGAAGCCAGGGCTTTAGTTCACTGTTGTCCTTCACGCTGCTTTGTTATCACAAGTGTGGACTGATAAAACTGCTTTAATGCTGTCTGTTCCAAGAGATGAAACTGAATCTCTATGCAGAGTTTCAGCACTCAACAGTATAGCAAGGCAGTTTTGTTTCACATCTCTGGGATACTGGACAAGCATAAAAATAATTGCAGACTCAGAAAAGATCAAGGAATGTATCCCTGCTGCAACAGATGCCGTACTAGAAGGAAAGACAAAAGCTGAAATGCATAATGAATTTAAAAAAGATTTTTTCATCAAACATGTCATTTGTTTGAAGGACTGAATTGTTGGCATCAGATATGGTAGATCAGCTTGTTAGCAAAGTGAAACATGATGACTGCTATGTAATGGCAATTGATGAGTCAATTGAAATCACTGATGTTGCTCAAATGTGCATCTTCATTTAATATGTCAATGGTCAGAAGTTAACGAAAGACCTTCTGTTCTTGTGACTACAGAAGCAAACAAGAGGCCACAATTTACAGGCGGTAGCAGGCGTTTTAGGGCTGGAATCAAAGAGGTCATAATACCCTTAATAGCAGCTGACGCTCCAGCTATTATATGATTGGCTGTGAACAATAATATCTGACATACCACTAACAACTGAATTCAGATCGGTGAGCATCAGTGCATTGTCCATCAAGCAGTTCTCTGAGCTGAATTAAAAGCAAGATATTAAAATGGCACTATATTACCCAGAAATGTAGGCATCTGTCTCAGACTGACATCCATTCCTCATGCTGATTATTCCACAATTCTCTTGATGGGGTTGCTGTTGAAGATAATTTGCTGAGCACGATGATGTTTCTGATGACTTGATAAAAAAATAAAGATATTACTTGGTAGAAATGAAGAATGTTATTTTCAAAAGTAAAATAACAGATTTTTCCCCATTCTACATAAATATTTCAGAAGGGAAAACCCAGCCACATCTGGATTGTGGCATTATTTGTTTTTGGCATTGGTATAATGGCCCTGAACAATCTCAGAGAAAGAGAGCAAGAACAGAACTTCTTTTAAAACAGGAAGTAAAGTTCTAGATGTTTGAAATGAATCCATCACTTCACAAGAAGCTTACATTTTCTAGCAGGATCTTCGTTAAAAAAAAAAAAGACAGAGAGTGAAAGAGAGGACCAATTTCTACAAAACAATTTGCAACTAAAGTCCAGGATGGTGCTTTTACTAGAAGAATTAACCAATTGACAGACTGTAAAAAT